TGAGCGAAGGAGCTTCAGGCGAGGCTCGTCTGAGCGAAGGAGCTTCAGGCGAGGCTCGTCTGATAGAGATCATAAAGTGAGAGGAGTCGTGAGTACAAGCTGTTATTTTAATAAAGCTCTCAGACAAAATATCACAAAATACATCTCAGTTTCAGCCTCACAGCGTTCAAATGTCCCACACTGTGACCGGGCCTCAAACGCCTCAATCCTCTCCTTTTTTGCTTTTCTTCTTCTTCAGCGTCTCCTCCTCCTCTACCTCCTCTTCCTCCGTACTCTTCCTCTTCCCCTGCTCCTCTACCCTCTCCATGGTCTCCCACACCTCATCCTCCTCCTCCTCCTCCTCCTCTTCCTCTTCCTCCTTCTTCACCTCCTCGCCCCCCGCCCCCGCCCCGCCCCCCCCACTCCTCCCGCTGGCTGGCGAGCAGCAGGCAGTTGAGGCGGGACTTCAGGTAGACCTTGTGCTGGAGCTTCCGGTCCTCCAGGCTGTGGATCCGGAGGAACCGGTCCAGACCGCAGGAGGCCACGATGGGGAGGGAGGGGTGGCACTGCAGGGCCCTCACCCCCCCACACAGACCCTTCAGGACCCCCCTCACCAGGCCCTTCCTCAGGTCCAGCACGGCCACCTCGCCCCGGGTGTTGCCCACCACCACAGAGGTGCCCCCCGTCGGCAGGGAGAGGGCCGTCAGAGGGTAATCCCCGAACTCCATCTCCATCACGGGGCGGCGCTGGGGGGAGGAGGGGTCGTGGATATGGACCTGGGGGGGGGGACAAAGTGTTATTGATATATATATGAATACACTAAGGAGGGGTCGTGGATATGGACCTACTTTATCTCTACTGCTTTATTGTGTTTTATATATTGATGTTGAATTGTTTGAGGACGTGTGCCTCTGATGATGAAACTACCCTCGACCAATAGTCATCAATTAAGGCGATCAGTCGACTAATCGTCGCACGTTTATGAAACATTAGGATTATAAATGTCTTTTTTCTCCCTAAAGTGTTTCAGTTCCAAAGGCTCGTTATTAGAGAGCGTTATTGTGACGGCCGATAGAGAGCGTCGTTGCGACGGCCGATAGAGAGCGTCGTTGCGACGGCCGATAGAGCGTCGTTGCGACGGCCGATAGAGAGCGTCGTTGCGACGGCCGATAGAGCGTCGTTGCGACGGCCGATAGAGAGCGTCGTTGCGACGGCCGATAGAGAGCGTCGTTGCGACGGCCGATAGAGAGCGTCGTTGCGACGGCCGATAGAGAGCGTCGTTGCGACGGCCGATAGAGAGTTATTGTGACGGCCGATAGAGCGTCATTGTGACGGCCGATAGAGAGCGTCGTTACGACGGCCGATAGAGAGCGTCATTACGACGGCCGATAGAGAGAGTTATTGTGACGGCCGATAGAGAGCGTTATTGTGACGGCCGAGAGAGAGCGTTATTGTGACGGCCGATAGAGAGCGTTGTTACGACGGCCGATAGAGAGCGTTATTGTGACGGCCGATAGAGAGCGTTATTGTGACGGCCGATAGAGAGCGTTATTGTGACGGCCGAGAGAGAGCGTTATTGTGACGGCCGATAGAGAGCGTCGTTACGACGGCCGATAGAGAGCGTCGTTACGACGGCCGATAGAGAGCGTCGTTACGACGGCCGATAGAGCGTCGTTGCGACGGCCGATAGAGAGCGTCGTTGCGACGGCCGATAGAGAGCGTCGTTGCGACGGCCGATAGAGAGCGTCGTTGCGACGGCCGATAGAGAGCGTCGTTGCGACGGCCGATAGAGAGCGTCGTTGCGACGGCCGATAGAGAGCGTCGTTGCGACGGCCGATAGAGAGTCGTTGTGACGGCCGATAGAGAGAGTCGTTGTGACGGCCGATAGAGAGAGTTATTGTGACGGCCGATAGAGCGTCATTGTGACGGCCGATAGAGAGCGTCGTTACGACGGCCGATAGAGAGCGTCATTACGACGGCCGATAGAGAGCGTCATTACGACGGCCGATAGAGAGAGTTATTGTGACGGCCGATAGAGAGCGTTATTGTGACGGCCGAGAGAGAGCGTTATTGTGACGGCCGATAGAGAGCGTTATTGTGACGGCCGATAGAGAGCGTTGTTACGACGGCCGATAGAGCGTTATTGTGACGGCCGATAGAGAGCGTTATTGTGACGGCCGATAGAGAGCGTTATTGTGACGGCCGAGAGAGAGCGTTATTGTGACGGCCGATAGAGAGCGTCGTTACGACGGCCGATAGAGAGCGTCGTTACGACGGCCGATAGAGAGCGTCATTGTGACGGCCGATAGAGAGCGTCGTTACGACGGCCGATAGAGAGCGCCATTGTGACGGCCGATAGAGCGTTATTGTGACGGCCGATAGAGAGCGTTATTGTGACGGCCGAGAGAGAGCGTTATTGTGGCGGCCGATAGAGAGCGTTGTTACGACGGCCGATAGAGAGCGTTATTGTGACGGCCGATAGAGAGCGTCATTATGACGGCCGATAGAGCGTCATTGTGACGGCCGATAGAGAGCGTTGTTACGACGGCCGATAGAGAGCGCCATTGTGACGGCCGATAGAGAGCGTTATTGTGACGGCCGATAGAGAGCGTCATTGTGACGGCCGATAGAGAGCGTCATTGTGACGGCCGAGAGAGAGCGTCATTGTGGCGGCCGATAGAGAGCGTCATTGTGGCGGCCGATAGAGAGTTATTGTGACGGCCGATAGAGAGCGTCATTGTGACGGCCGATAGAGAGCGTCATTGTGGCGGCCGATAGAGAGCGTCATTGTGACGGCCGATAGAGAGCGTCATTGTGACGGCCGATAGAGAGCGTCATTGTGACGGCCGATAGAGAGCGTCATTGTGACGGCCGATAGAGAGCGTCATTGTGACGGCCGATAGAGAGTCATTGTGACGGCCGATAGAGAGCGTCATTGTGACGGCCGATAGAGAGCGTCGTTACGACGGCCGATAGAGAGCGCCATTGTGACGGCCGATAGAGAGCGTTATTGTGACGGCCGATAGAGAGCGTTATTGTGACGGCCGAGAGAGAGAGTTATTGTGACGGCCGATAGAGAGCGTTATTGTGACGGCCGATAGAGAGCGTTATTGTGACGGCCGATAGAGAGCGTTATTGTGACGGCCGAGAGAGAGCGTTATTGTGACGGCCGATAGAGCGTTATTGTGACGGCCGAGAGAGAGCGTTATTGTGGCGGCCGATAGAGAGCGCCATTGTGACGGCCGATAGAGCGTTATTGTGACGGCCGATAGAGAGCGTTATTGTGACGGCCGAGAGAGAGCGTTATTGTGGCGGCCGATAGAGAGAGTTATTGTGACGGCCGATAGAGAGCGTTATTGTGACGGCCGATAGAGAGCGTTATGACGGCCGAGAGAGAGCGTTATTGTGACGGCCGAGAGAGAGAGTTATTGTGACGGCCGATAGAGAGCGTTATTGTGACGGCCGATAGAGAGTTATTGTGACGGCCGATAGAGAGCGTTATTGTGACGGCCGATAGAGAGCGTTATTGTGACGGCCGATAGAGAGCGTTATGACGGCCGAGAGAGAGCGTTAGTGACGGCCGAGAGAGAGCGTTATGACGGCCGAGAGAGAGCGTTATTGTGACGGCCGAGAGAGAGCGTTATTGTGACGGCCGATAGAGAGCGTTATTGTGACGGCCGATAGAGAGCGTTATTGTGACGGCCGATAGAGAGAGTTATTGTGACGGTCGATAGAGAGAGTTATTGTGACGGCCGATAGAGAGCGTTATTGTGACGGCCGATAGAGAGCGTTATGACGGCCGAGAGAGAGCGTTATTGTGACGGCCGATAGAGAGCGTTATGACGGCCGAGAGAGAGCGTTATTATGACGGCCGATAGAGAGCGTTTTTATAGCGGCCGATAGAGAGCGTTATGACGGCCGAGAGAGAGCGTTATGACGGCCGATAGAGAGCGTTATTGTGACGGCCGATAGAGAGCGTTATTGTGACGGCCGAGAGAGAGCGTTATTGTGACGGCCGAGAGAGAGCGTTATTGTGACGGCCGATAGAGAGCGTTATTATGACGGCCGATAGAGAGCGTTATTATAGCGGCCGATAGAGAGCGTCATGACGGCCGAGAGAGAGCGTTATTGTGACGGCCGATAGAGAGCGTTATTGTGACGGCCGATAGAGAGCGTTATGATGGCCGAGAGAGAGCGTTATTGTGACGGCCGATAGAGAGCGTTATGACGGCCGAGAGAGAGCGTTATTATGACGGCCGATAGAGAGCGTTATGACGGCCGATAGAGAGCGTTATTGTGACGGCCGATAGAGAGCGTTATTGTGACGGCCGATAGAGAGCGTTATGACGGCCGAGAGAGAGCGTTATGACGGCCGATAGAGAGCGTTATTATAGCGGCCGATAGAGAGCGTTATGACGGCTGATAGAGCGTTATTGTGACGGCCGATAGAGAGCGTTGTTACGACGGCCGATAGAGAGCGCCATTGTGACGGCCGATAGAGAGCGTTATTATAGCGGCCGATAGAGAGCGTTATGACGGCCGAGAGAGAGCGTTATTATGACGGCCGATAGAGCGTTATTGTGACGGCCGATAGAGAGCGTTATTGTGACGGCCGATAGAGAGCGTTATGACGGCCGATAGAGAGCGTTATTATAGCGGCCGATAGAGAGCGTTATTGTGACGGCCGATAGAGAGTTATTATGACGGCCGATAGAGAGCGTTATTATAGCGGCCGATAGAGAGCGTTATTATAACGGCCGATAGAGAGAGTTATTATGACGGCCGATAGAGAGCGTTATTATAGCGGCCGATAGAGAGCGTTATTATAACGGCCGATAGAGAGAGTTATTATAGCGGCCGATAGAGAGCGTTATTATAGCGGCCGATAGAGAGCGTTATGACGGCCGATAGAGAGCGTTATTATAGCGGCCGATAGAGAGCGTTATTATAGCGGCCGATAGAGAGCGTTATGACGGCCGATAGAGAGCGTTATGACGACCGAGAGAGTTATGACGGCCGATAGAGAGCGTTATTATAACGGCCGATAGAGAGCGTTATTATAACGGCCGATAGAGAGCGTTATTATAACGGCCGATAGAGAGAGTTATGACGGCCGATAGAGAGCGTTATTATAGCGGCCGATAGAGAGCGTTATTATAACGGCCGATAGAGAGTTATTATAGCGGCCGATAGAGAGCGTTATTATAGCGGCCGATAGAGAGCGTTATGACGGCCGATAGAGAGCGTTATTATAGCGGCCGATAGAGCGTTATTATAGCGGCCGATAGAGCGTTATTATAGCGGCCGATAGAGAGCGTTATGACGGCCGATAGAGAGCGTTATGACGACCGAGAGAGAGTTATGACGGCCGATAGAGAGCGTTATTATGACGGCCGATAGAGAGCGTTATTATAACGGCCGATAGAGCGTTATTATAACGGCCGATAGAGAGCGTTATTATAACGGCCGATAGAGAGCGTTATTATAACGGCTGATAGACTTGACTGCTATTTTCAGGAGGTTTTTTTTTGCTTGTGAGACGATGTGTGCTCATATATATATATATACATAAATACATAAATAAATACATAAATAAATATGAGCACACATTGTCTCACAAGCAAAAAAAACCCTCCTTAAAACAGCAGTCAAGTGTACAGTCCACTGTCCAGACAAAGACCCAGATGTCTCAACAGGCCATATCCAAATCTGTATTTCAAAGATTTCGAGCAAGGAACACCAACATGTTTGCATTGTCGGGAAAATGCATCTGTGATTGTAAACTGTAGGGAAGGTGGGGGCTCTCCATCTCCAGCTGCCGTGTTTGCTCCCAGCTGGGAGAATGGGGTGGTTGTGTTTCAGGTGCAGTTTAAGGTTGGTCGTATCGCTAGTTTTTGTTGCTACCTTTTTAAAACAAATGCGACACACCGCCCGGCTCATTGAAGTCCGTAGGTTCGCCTCGTTGATTTGGCTTACATCCAAAATATTCCCACACCGGAGACGTGGAATTAGGTTTTGCAACCAATTCCATTTAACTTCAAATTCCCCTGGAGTAAGTCACACGTTGTCTCCTGCTTGTCTCTATATTATTCATTTGGCTGCTACACTGCTGCACGCGGAGTGTCCTGACCTGGCTGTGTGTGAGCCCCTCACAGCGCGCCGGGCTAACATGCTGGTCACATCCTTATGTAAACAAACACGCATGTAAACGGCAATTTATCGAGCTCAGAAAAGTTATCGAGTCCATTTTTATTTATCGTACGATAAGTCAATGTATTGATTATCGCGACAGGCCTAACCATCACACACACACACTAGTGTCTCATCAGGAACCATCACACACACACTAGTGTCTCATCAGGAACCATCACACACACACACACACACACTAGTGTCTCATCAGGAACCATCACACACTAGTGTCTCATCAGGAACCATCACACACACACTAGTGTCTCATCAGGAACCATCACACACACACTAGTGTCTCATCAGGAACCATCACACACACACACACACACACTAGTGTCTCATCAGGAACCATCACACACACACACACACACACTAGTGTCTCATCAGGAACCATCACACACACACACACTAGTCTCTCATCAGGAACCATCACACACACACACACACTAGTGTAGCAGTGGACCCACCTGATGGTAGCCCGTGCAGGTGACCACCTTCTCAGACTGGGGGATGAAGGCCATGTCCCGGACCCACTGAGCCCTCTTCAGGTCCAGCCAGTCGTCCTTCAGGTTCTTAGCGGAGAACACGGGGGGGTTCTTTGGGTTCTCCAGGTCCCAGATCTTCAGCCCGTTCTCCTTCCCCCCGGTGGCCATTTTGTTTCTCTGAGCCGGGTTCTGACGCATCCGAGACACGTTCTTCCCCGTTATCACCTCTGCTACCGGGTCACTGCTGGACTCACGCCACACCTGGGAGACAGGTAAACAGGTAAATACCATGTAAACACCTGGAACACCTGGAACACCATCACATGTAAACACCTGGAACAGCATCACATGTTACACAAGTATAGTAACTAAGTATATTACTTCAGTACACATGTTGATATCGAGTACTCCCCCCTCCAGTCCTCATGTAAACATTCATCAGAACCAGGAGGACACTTTGTGAGATTTAAAAACACAACTGCATCACTGGAACTATCAAGGTGTTCCTGCTGAGGTGTCCGCTGACATTAACTCGTGGGGGGGCAACACTACAGGTCTCTCTATACAGGTCTACAGGTCTCTTTCTACAGGTCTACAGGTCTCTCTCTACAGGTCTACAGGTCTCTCTCTACAGGTCTACAGGTCTCTCTATACAGGTCTCTCTATACAGGTCTCTCTCTACATGTCTCTCTCTACAGGTCTCTCTCTACAGGTCTACAGGTCTCTCTACAGGTCTACTCACCCTGATGGTCCCGGTCTCCTGGCAGGTCACCAGCCCCCCCTCCTCCAGGACCTCCAGCCCAGTAAAGCCTCCTTCTTGCGGGTCTCCACAGCTCCGGGTCTCGGTGAAAGACCCCTTCTCGAGGCTGAAGGTCTTGACGGATCCGTCGCGCGCCCCCAGCAGCAGGTCCGTCTCCGCGCGGTCCCCCCACACCAGCACGCGCACCTCCTGGTCCCGGGACAGGTGTTGCGTGTTGCAGAAGTTAAAGGCCTGTTTCCGGGACAGACTGACCCCCTTCAGGATGCCGGTCTCTGAGCCCAGGAACACCGAACAGAGCCGACTCGAGTCCGCCATCTCGATACACGTGTGTTGTTATGGGGACTGTGTCGCGCGACTCTGACGTCTTCTTCTTCTTCTTTGGTTTGATGGCGAGTCGCAACCACTTGGAGCATTGTCGCCACCTACTGTTGACTTGTTGAATCTTCAAGTTATATCTTTGTCCTCAGTAGAGTGTTTTTGAGAGACGTGAAGATCAGTTTGTGAACTTCATTTCCCGTGTTTCTTGCGAATATTGACTTGAGATCCATGTCCTTGATGTTATGTTGTTCCATTGCAGTTTTCAGAATGAGTCTTTGTCTGGTATATTCCGGGCAGCTAAAGAATACATGATGTATTGTCTCTGATTGTTGGAGAGCTGCCAGTTGGATGTTTTCCAATCAGATGCAGTGATGACTTTAATCCGGAGTGACCCAATTTGATCCTGATGATAATGTTCTGTTCTCAACTCTGACGTCACTCAGTGTTCTTCTTAAACTCCATATTCATAAGTCTTGCACACCAGATGCTCATGCTAGTGCTAATGGGGATCCTAATAAAGACAAGAAGACCAGATGATAATGAGTCTGTGCGATGGCAGGAAGAAGGCGATAGAAAGAAACCCATGTGAGATGAAACTAGTCTGAAGGAAGGGACATTCTCTGATTCCCACCTGACAGCACAGATCCTCCACCTCCTTTGCTTTGAACTGTTACAGCAAACCAAGCCCTACAAACTGAAGAGGTCATTGATGAAGGCAGCGATGGCTAAATGCTAACACCACTTCAAGGTTGATGTTTTACATGATTTAACGTGGGTTTTTTGCAACCAGGGAAAACGTTATATAGATGTGTTTTTGTTTCTAAATGTACTTTATGTTCATGTATTGCTGGGGAACCTGAGCTGCCAGGTGAAAGCTGGGGATCTTATCATATCTTATTTTGAAAAAAACATCCGACTACGTCATTGTTAGATGGCCGCACGTTGGCGCATGCGCATATCTCATTAGCCACACCACCATTTTGGCTCTCAGTTAGCTTTTAGTTTCTAAAAAAAAACGTATAATTTCTCCCGCTTTTGTATTAAAGTTAAAACAAACACAGAGCCGTCAGCTGTTTGGATCTGAACCCGAGCCTTTGTTCTTCAGGGAAATGGACGGAGAAGAGGAAGACTTTGTGTCCGGGAGAAACTCTGGTAAAAATAGACTGTTGTTCTGCTTTGTTTCACAACATGCTAATAAGCTAACTATGCTACATACACTCATTGTAGTCAGTCGTAGATGGAGCTAACTATGCTAACAAGCTAACTATGCTACATCCACTCATTGTAGTGGGTCGTAGATGGAGCTAACTATGCTAACAAGCTAACTATGCTACATCCACTCATTGTAGTGGGTCGTAGATGGAGCTAACTATGCTAACAAGCTAACTATGCTACATACACTCATTGAAGTGGGTCGTAGATGGAGCTAACTATGCTAATAAGCTAACTATGCTACATCCACTCGTTGTAGTGGTTCTTAGATGGAGCTAGCTATGCTAACAGGCTAACATCCACTCGTTGTAGTGGTTCTTAGATCAATCTAACAAGCTAACATGCTAAGCTTCAGAATCAGAATCCCTTTATTCCTCCCAAAAAGGGGAAATGAACGTTGTTACAGCAGAGTATAGATAGGGACGAAGAACATAGAACATTATCATATAAACAGGCATTCACATAGTATTTAAAAATACATACATATTACAATTTACATAAGTACACTTTCAAGTATATAGTAGGTAGCTCCAGTGACTCCAGGTGCTACACATGACACACAGGAGGCTGTTTAGCTCTTATTCTCTGTCATATTGTGACTAAAGGTGATTGATGGTACTGTCTGTGTCTCATAACAGCTGCTGTGCAGGTTCAGGGGTGTAATATATAACTGAGTAGATGTACTCTTTCCTGTACACATCTGAGGTACTGATCTGGTGGAGATTCATATAAAGGCCATGAAGTAGGTTTAATGTAATACATGTCTCCTTGTTGAACAGAACATAAGCAGTGAAGTAAACCTTGATGAGCGACGGTTACACACATGAAGCCTGGTATAGTTTCATAGTAGTTATAGTTCTGGGCAAAGAAAGGAATATTTGGTTTCAGTTAATAGTAGAATAGATCCTGTTTTTTACCAAAATATGTTGTGCCTTTTGGACATTAAGAATATTTTAGTGTGCGATGCAGCTTTGTCTTTGGCATTTTGTAAACTCAGTTTGAGGTTATTATTACAAATAAGTTTTCTCTCTTGTCTCTATGGTCTCACTCAAACGCCACTCAAATAGAAACATGCTTCTATTATAAAATAGTGATTTCACACGTCTTGCTGTTATTCCACCACAAAAACATTATTTTTCTGCAGGTGTGTAACAGTCCATCCTGACGAGGTACAGACGCTGACGTGTTTTTGTTTTGTTGCAGACGATGGAGGCGGCACTCCGGTTCAGGATGAACTCCCGGGGTCAGACGGCGGCCATCAGTCTGAGGTCAGAGCTCCACACACTGCCTGATACATTACAATCAGCCCCTGTGGTTCCTTTAGTGCTGTCCGTTATCAATCACTCCTATGCATACATCAATGCACACACTGTTGACAATATCAGGTTTCCACTGTAGGCAAGGCAAGTGTATTTATACAGCACCTTTCAGCACACGGCAATTCAAAGTGCTTTACAAAATAAAATAAAATACATTTAAGAATAAATACAGAAAACACATTATACAATGGCATATAATCAAATAAACACAACGGCTATAAAACAGTTTGGGTATGAACAGCTCACTCAAATGCAGCGACAAAAAGATATGTTTTAGTCTGGATTTGAAAGTACTAAGGGTTGCAGAGGACCTGCAGGATCCAGATGGTCGGGGCATACAAGCTAGACGCTGCTTCTCCATGTTTAGCTCTGACTCTTGGAGCAGAGACTAGAGGACCTGAGACTCAGACCAGAGGACCTGAGACTCAGACCAGAGGACCTGAGACTCAGACCAGAGGACCTGAGACTCAGACCAGAGGACCTGAGACTCAGACCAGAGGACCTGAGACTCCTGGGCGGTTCATACTGCTGCACGAGATCGTTAAAATGATTTGGTCCTAAACCATTCAGTGCTTTAAAATCAATTCTCTGGAAGCCAGTGTGAAGACTTCAGAACTGGACTGATGTGATCCACTCTTTCAGTGTGAAGACTTCAGAACTGGTAGATTTCAACAATATATGAAAGGGCCATGTCTGCACCACGGCACCGAGTCGACCCACCAGGTTCAGAACCAGGTTCAGAACCTGGTGGGTCGACTCGGTGCCGTGGTGCAGACATGGCCCTTTCATATATTGTTGAAATCTAGCACAACAGGTGATCTTTAAAATGCTTCCAGATGTTTCTGTGACTCTGAGCCAGGACTGTTTGTCTCGACAGGACGATGGCAGTAACGATGGAGACGCCCCGAAACCCATGGAAGGAGGAGGCAGTGATGATGAAGAGGAGCAGCGAAGAGGAGGCGGCAGCGATGAAGAGGCTCGTCCTCGAGCCGCCGACAGCGACAACGAATCCTCTCCTCCGGTGAAACGCAGGATGAGCGGCTCAGAGGACGAGTCGCCCGCCAAACACACGTCAGATAACGAGGAGGGCGGGGCGTCGCCTGCCGCCAAACGCAGGGCGAGCAGCTCAGACATGGAGGAGGAAGAGGAGGGGAAGAAGGAGGAAGAGGAGGAGAGGAAGAAAGCAGACAGCGACTCGGAGAACGACAAACACCACAGTGACTCTGAAACAGAGACGCCTGCAAGACGCAAGGCGGCACAGATAGACTCTGGGGGGGAGGGGGGGGCGCAGCAGGAGGAGGGAGGAGGAGGAGGGAAGTGGAAGGCTGTCATGCAGTCTGATAGTGAGGAGGAAGAGGAGGGCAAACAGAAGAAGGCTGCAGCAGCAGGAAGTGATGGAGAGCAGCAGAAAGACGACAGTGAAGACGAGAAGCCAGGTAACGCACTCTGATGAAGATATCTGTTATTCAAACCTAACTTTATTCAGAGAGAAGTGTTCACGTGCTTCACCAACAGATCTCTGTTATTCAAACCTAACTTTATTGAGAGAGAAGTGTTCACGTGCTTCACCAACAGATATCTGTTATTCAAACCTAACTTTATTCAGAGAGAAGTGTTCACGTGCTTCACCAACAGATCTCTGTTATTCAAACCTAACTTTATTCAGAGAGAAGTGTTCACGTGCTTCACCAACAGATCTCTGTTATTCAAACCTAACTTTATTCAGAGAGAAGTGTTCACGTGCTTCACCAACAGATATCCCCTTTCCAGGTAACAGAGAAACAGCTTTGGGATTACAAAGGAACCCTAACCAACGCAGGTGATCAGCTCACCAGCTCACCTGGTGATCTCCTCTGAGCTCACCAGGTGATGTCCTCTGAGCTCACCAGGTGATCTCCTCTGAGCTCACCTGGTGATCTCCTCTGAGCTCACCAGGTGATCTCCTCTGAGCTCACCAGGTGATCTCCTCTGAGCTCACCAGGTGATCTCCTCTGAGCTCACCAGGTGATCTCCTCTGAGCTCACCAGGTGAATGTACCTTCAGGGTTTATTGACCTGTGTTTGTGTGTTTCTGCAGTGAAGAGGAAGAAGGCCATCCTGTCAGACAGCGAGGAAGAAGACGAGGAGAAGACCAACAAACCAGGTGAGGAAGATCTCTAACCCATCTTCATCAGGGGAGAAACCACCAATCAGAGATCAGAGTATTATTTGCCCCTTTTGTTTGTTAGTTTGTTCACCAGGTAAAGCGGCCTTGGGTCCCTTGAAAGGTGCTACACAACTATTATTATTATTATTAGAGCAGTCCCTCACAGTCCCTCCTTAGTCCCTCACAGTCCCTCCTTAGTCCCTCACATGCCCCTTTCACACAGGAAAAAAACGGTACTTTTCAGCTCCGAGCCGGAGCTGAAAAGTACCGTTTTTTTTCCTGTTCACACCGCAGCGGCGCCGCCTCTTAGCTCCTGAATCCGGTTCACTTCCAGCTCCAAAAAATTGTCGGTCTAGAGGCAAGAGCTTCGGAGCTATGACGCGGCGTCGCTTACGTCTCTCTTACGTGGAGGCGTGCAGGAAACTAAACCCACCTCCCCTGAACATGGGTCGACTGAAGAGTCTCGTCATGCCTGCCTACAAGCAGTAGCGCTGAGCAAAGTGACTAGAAGGCAACCACACACTTATAAAGAAACACACTTTCTAAAGTCAGGCAACACTAACCAGGCTTCGTGTGATTCTGTTTATTTGTACCTTACTTTGACCATCCGTTCGCTGTTATTGATCATTGTGGAGAGCAGGCAGACGTTTGTTATTATAGCAGCTATCGGATGGAATCAATACATGGGCTGCACAGGTTGTCATGTCCGACTATCACAAGTAGAATCATAATGAAAAATACGCCGGTAAAAAGTGCCTGTAGAAAACGGCTTAGCAAGTAGTCAGTTTAGCTTCGGTTGCTATGCTAACATCACCCATGTTATACCAGAGAAACTTTCATAACAGCGTTGTGATGCCAAACAGCGTGAATTCAGACTGACACACATTCACTGAGTTGTCGTAATCAAACTAAACTGATATTTCTGATCGAATACCAATACTGCTGCCATACTGGGCCTCCTGTGATGATGTCATAGCCTCCTGTGATGATGTCATAGCCTCCTGTGATGATGTCATAGCCTCCTGTGATGATGTGATATCTTCCTGTGATGATGTCATAGCCTCCTGTGATGATGTCATAGCCTCCTGTGATGATGTCATATCTTCCTGTGATGATGTCATAGCCTCCTGTGATGATGTCATAGCCTCCTGTGATGATGTCATAGCCTCCTGTGATGATGTCATATCTTCCTGTGATGATGTCATATCTTCCTGTAATGATGTCATAGCCTCCTGTGATGATGTCATAGCCTCCTGTGATGATGTCATATCTTCCTGTGATGATGTCATAGCTTCCTGTAATGATGTCATAGCCTCCTGTAATGATATCCTCTCCTCCCTCTGCTCCTCCTCACAGTGAAGAGGAGTCGGGCGATGTCTGACGAGGAGAACTCGGACAGAGACGGCCATGACGACACGTTAGCCAAACTGAGGGAGCTGGGCTCAGACAGCAGTGATGAAGAGGAGGGGTCAAAGGTCACAGAGGAGAAGAAGGACGAGAAGGCTCTGTTCGGGAGCGACAGCGAATCAGGAGAGGGCGAGGAGGAGGAGTGAGTATTATAGGAGGAGGAGGTATTTGACAGAGCAAAATCAGAAAGAAATGGAATAGAAACAGCATGAATGTAGAGATGATGATGAAGTGGTGATTCTCTGGATTCTAACCTTGTGTTTGTTTCAGGAAGATGATCGCTGACATCTTCGGAGAGTCCGGGGACGAAGAGGAGGAGGAGTTCACCGTGAGTTCAGACTCAAACTGAAGACGCGCTGCAGACTTTATGAAGTGTAATAACAACCTGTGTCGTCCTGCAGGGATTCAACCAGGAGGATCTGGAGGAGAAGAAGGAGGCGCAGGAGGAGGAGCAGCAGCAGGAGGACTCGGACTCTGACGAGGGGGTGGACCGCAGCGGGCAGGAGTGAGGACGCCTTCATTTATCACACACAGCAGGGGGCCTTTAATTACACATACAAAATATATCATTAAGAAATTACAATATGATATTTAATGTAAACGGGAAACATTTATTTCATGCATCTGAGAGCTGGGAGAGCCAAGAGCAGGAGCCTCCCTTGCCCTTCAAAGTAAAAGCACTGAGTGTTTTGTGTTCGCAGCATGAGCATGATGTCAGACTTCGACGTCATGCTGGCGAAGAGGAAGGCGATGAACAGCCGGAAGCGCAGAAACCGTGACGGAGGAACGTTCATCAGCGACGCCGACGACGTGGTCAGCGCCATGATCAGCAAGATGAACGAGGCCGCCGAGGTACCCGCCACAATAAGAGCCTCAGAGCCTCAAAAAGAGTTTGCCCGCCACAATAAGAGCCTCAGAGCCACAATAAGAGCCTGAGAGCCACAATAAGAGCCCCTCCCCGCCACAATTAAAGCCCCTCCCCGCCACAATTAAAGCCCCTCCCCGCCACAATTAAAGCCCCTCCCCGCCACAATTAAAGCCCCTCCCCGCCACAATTAAAGCATCCCCGCCACAATAAAAGCATCCCCGCCACAATTAAAGCCCCTCCCCGCCACAATAAAAGCCTCCCCGCCACAATAAAAGCATCCCAGCCACAATTAAAGCCCCTCCCCGCCACAATAAAAGCCTCCCCGCCACAATAAAAGCCTCCCCGCCACAATTAAAGCCTCCCCGCCACATTAAGAGCCTCTCCCCGCCACATTAAGAGCCCCTCCCCGCCACAATAAGAGCCCCTCCCCGCCACAATAAGAGCCTCCCGTGATACTGACTGTGTTTCTCTCTGACAGGAGGACCGCACTCTGAACGCTCTGAAGAAACCGGCGTTAAAGAAACTCACGCTGCTGCCGCACGTGATCCTGCACCTGAGGAAGTAAGAGCTCATGAAACCCTTTCAAATGTTACATTCATCTCCTGCAATGAAGATGTGACATAAGCCCCTATCTGTGTGTATTCATCTGTATACACGTTTGTAGAACAGGTTTAAAACCAGAAGACTTACTTTATAAATCCCACAACACAATGAATAATCTGAGTATAACGACACAGCACTCCCTTTCCCTCCTGACTCGAGTGGTGTTGACCGTGCTGTGTTTCCCTCAGACAGGACTTGAAGGAGACGTTCATCGACAGCGGCGTGATGTCTGCCATCAAAGAGTGGATCAGTCCTCTTCCAGATAAATCTCTCCCTGCTCTGAGGATCCGAGGAGAGCTGCTGCGCATCCTGCAGGAGGTGACTCAGATGATCAGTGACTTTATTCATGATCACAGACTCAGACATGATGTTGCAGACGCAAGCTCAGCTATCAGCAGATGTAGGCTGCAGGGACGTGGATGCACAAATAGTTATGAGACCATAAGTACAAAAGAAAAGCAAGGCGAAAATGTTATCACACAGTCTGTCTGTTCTGGATTAACAACGTGTCACGTGTTCTGAATTGACCAATCAGAATCGAGTATTCAACTAAGCCATGTAATAAATTGATATAAGAATGATGTGACGACATAATCTCCTCTCCCCTCGTTAGGATGCTCCCTCGTTAGGATGCTCCCTCGTTAGGATGCTCCCTCGTTAGGATGCTCCCTCGTTAGGATGCTCCCTCGTTAGGATGCCCCCTCGTTAGGATGCCCCCTCGTTAGGATGCTCCCTCGTTAGGATGCCCCCTCGTTAGGATGCCCCCTCGTTAGGATGCCCCCTCGTTAGGATGCTCCCTCGTTAGGATGCCCCCTCGTTAGGATGCCCCCTCGTTAGGATGCCCCCTCGTTAGGATGCTCCCTCGCTATGCTCCTCTCTCACTAAGTGTTTCCTGTGACGTTTCCTCTCGTTAGGATGCCCCCTCGCTAGGATGCTCCCTCGCTAGGATGCCCCCTCGCTAGGATGCCCCCTCGTTAGGATGCCCCCTCGTTAGGATGCCCCCTCGCTAGGATGCTCCCTCGTTAGGATGCCCCCTCGCTAGGATGCTCCCTCGCTAGGATGCCCCCTCGTTAGGATGCTCCCTCGCTATGCTCCTCTCTCACTAAGTGTGTCCTGTGACGTTTCCTCTCGCTAGGATGCCCCCTCGCTAGGATGCTCCCTCGCTAGGATGCTCCCTCGTTAGGATGCCCCCTCGCTAGGATGCTCCCTCGCTAGGATGCCCCCTCGTTAGGATGCTCCCTCGCTATGCTCCTCTCTCACTAAGTGTGTCCTGTGTGTTTGCAGCTGCCCAGTGTGAGTCAGGAGACTCTGAAGCACAGCGGCATCGGGCGCTCCGTCATGTTCCTCTACAAACACCCCAAAGAGTCCAGAGCCAACAAAGACCTCGCCCTCAAACTCATCAGTAAGTAAATCCTCAGGGTTAGTGTTGGGAAGGTCCTGAGGGTCCTCCAACATGAGAGTCACACTGTAGCTGTGTGCATGGCAGGATGTGTGAAGATAGGGGTGTGACGGTTCACAAACGCTTCGGTACGTACCTCAGTTTTTAGGTCACGGTTCGGTACGTTTTCGGTACAGATGAAAAAATGATCACAAAACATAAACTATTTTTTTTAAATTATTATAAAACTGAATATTCACTCAAATAAATACAAAATATAATAAAATAAACATTAAGGTGCAGCATTTGGATGAACTGAAATCATCTGTACTTGAACTGTACTGCACTAGCACCTAAGCAGCCAGCTTGACGTTAGGCTTGTATTTTCATGTTTTAAAGAAAGATGAACTTGTCCACATTGCTTGCTGAAAGGGCAGATCTTCTGGCACTAATGTCTCCTGCTGTGGAGAACACCCTCTCTCTAGGGACAGAGGGAGCAGATACAGCCAGGTAGCGCTTTGCTAACATGGCACTGAACTTGTTGCGAGTGGTGGAGGCTTAAATGCTAGTGGGAGTTGGGTTTGCACTTCAGTCTTTTTTCTTTTGGTGCCGGTGATATTCACGTTCGGGTGATGCCTTTTCAAATGAGTGTGCAAGTTGGATGTATTGCCAGCCGCGTAACCAATGTTAGTTGAAGAATGCCGACAAACAGCTTTGGTTCGGTCCACCTGTCTTTGTCCGTCATCCTTGTACGTAACTGCGAAACCAAAATGTTCCCAAACCGGAGACTTCAATGATGCTGGAGGATTTTCCAGCTCAACTTTATCTGCTTTC